CTCTGCAATCACATCAGCCAACTCCCTCAGCACTCTCCGGTGCATTGCATCTAGCCCCATGGACTGATCTGGTAGCCGTGTTCAGGAACTGCATGCCAGATTGGGTCCTTCAGGTGAGTTCATGCAAAATATGAAGTTGCAGAACTACTGTCGCTGAAAGAAGTCTCTGTACCAGATGACCAGAAGGTAGCTACTGTAATGGCAGTCCTTAAAAATGGCTCCAGAAGAGGTCCTGGTAAGGTCCTCTCATGAATCAGTAATGGGTTAAAAGACAGGAAACAAAGGGTAGGAATGAATGGTCACTTTTCAGAATGGAGAGAGGTAAATAGCGGGGTCCTCCAGGGATCTGAACTGTGTCTAATGCTGTTCAACATATTCGTGAGTGATCTGGGAAAAAGGAGTAAACAGTGAAGTGGCAAAATTTGCAGACAAAAGAAGATTACCCAAGATAGTTAAGTCCAAAGCAGACTGGGAAGAGTTACAAAGGGATCTCACAAAAAAGTGTGTGACTGGACAACACAATGGCAGATGAAATTGAACATTTATATAATGAACTACACTTATATAATGATGGGTTCTAAATTAGCTGTTGCCATCCAAGAAAGATTTGGGAATCATTCTGGATAGTTCTCTGAAAACTTCATCTTAATGTGCAACAGTGATAAAAATGTCTAACAGAATGTTAGGAAGTATTAGGAAAGGGATAGAAAATAAGAAAATATCATGATGTCACTATATAAATCCATGGTCCATGTACATCTTGAATTCTGTGTCTATTCTGGTTTCCCCATTTCAAAAAAGATGTAGTGGAACTAGGGCTGTCAATTAATCTTCGTTAACTCACACGATTAACTCAAAAAATAATCTTGATTTAAAAAATTGTGATTAATAGCAGTTTTAATTGCACTGTTAAACATTAGAATACCATTTAAATATTTTGGATGTTTTCCATATTTTCAAATATATATTGATTTCAATTACAACACAGAATACAAAGTGTACAGTGCTCACTTTGTAGTATTTTTTATTAAAAATATTTGCACTGTAAAAATTATAAAGAAATAGTATTTTTCAGTTCACCTTGTACAAGTACTGTAGTGCAATCTCTTGATCATGAAAGTGCAACTTACAAAAGTAGATTTTTGTTACATAATTGCACTCGAAAACAAAACAATGTAAAACTTTAGAGCCTACAAGTCGACTTAGTCCTACTTCTTGTTCCACCAATCATTCAGACAAACAAATTTGTTTACATTTACAGGAGATAATGCTGCCCTCTTCTTATTTACAATGTCACCTAAAAGTGAGAACAGGCATTCACATGGCACTTTTGTAGCCAGCATTGCAAGGTATTGTGACAAGATGGCGGATGTAGTATGGTGGGTCCTGCGCTTTTCTTGGTGGGGGCTAAGATGCCACCCCTTGCCCCTACTCTTGGGGCACCGAGGGCCCCACTAGTGGCCCAGGAAGGTAGTAAAGGAGAGAAGCGGGGGAGGGGTCTGGGTTTGCTCCTTATTCGGAGCCCCAGCCCCTCTCAACCCCTGCAGGTTTTTACCCTCTTCCCCCTTGGGTGGAGTACCTTCAGTCCTTAAATGCTAGGGGAGGGAGTCTCCCTGCTGGGGCAGGGTCTCTATTACTCTGGTTTTCTGATCTTCCAAGTCTCACAGCACACCTCCAAGCTCCAGTCCTCTCTCCTTCCTCCTTCTCCCCTGACTACCTGAAGCAGGGGGTTTTATTAGGTTGCTAACAGGGCCTTAATTGACTACAGGTGCTCCAATTAACCTGTAGCAGCCCTCCCTAGTCTACATGGAACCACGCCTTAGTTAGCCTAGGGCTTATATACTTCCCCTCTACCACTTTTCCACTGCTCCCTGGGCCTCACTGTATCACAGTATTTACATGCCAGATATGCTAAATATTCATATGCCCCTTCATGCTTTGGCCACCATTCCAGAGGACATGCTTCCATGCTGATGACACTCATTAAAAATAATAATGCATTAATTAAATTTGTGACTGAACTCCTTGGGGGAGAATTGTACGTCTCCTGCTCTGTGTTTTACTCGCATTCTGACATATATTTCATATTATAGCAGTCTGGGATGATGACCCAGTACATGTTGTTTGCTTTAAGAACACTTTCACTGCAGATTTGACAAAATGCAAAGAAGGAACTGATGTTAGATTTCTAAAGATAGCTACTGCACTCGGCCCAGGATTTAAGAATCTGAAGTACCTTCCAAAATCTGAGAGGGACGAGGTGTGGAGCATGCTTTCAGAAGTCTTAAAAGAGTAACACTCCAATGTGGAAACTACAGAACCTGAACCACCAAAAAAGAAAATAAAACATCTGCTGGTGGCCTCTTACTCAGATCATGAAAATGAACATGCACTGGTCCACACTGCTTTGGATCATTATCGAGCAGAACTCGTCATCAGCATGGACACATGTCCTCTGGAATGGTGGTTGAAGCGACGTATGAATCTTTAGCGCATCTAGCACGTAAATATCTTGCAATGCTGGCTACGAGAGTGCCATGCGAATGCCTGGTCTCACTTTCAGGTGACATTGTAAATAAGAAACGAGCAGCATTATCTCCTGTAAATGGAAACAAATGTGTTTGTCTGAGCGATTGGCAGAACAAGAAGTAGGGCTGAGTGGACTTGTAGTCTCTTAAATATTACATTGCATTAAAAATAAAAATTTCTTTTTTACATATTTCTACATTTGTATTTCAACTTTCATGATAAGGAGATTGCATTACAGTACTTTTATTAGGTGAATTGAAAATTACTATTTTGTTTTTTCAGTGCAAATATTTGTAATACAAATAAATATAAAGTGAGCACTGTACACTTTGTATTCTGTGTTGTAACTGAAATCCATATACATTTTAAAATATGGAAAACATCCAAAATATTTACATGGTTTTCTATTATTGTTTAATTGTGCGCTTAATTGTGATTATTTTTTTTAATTGCTTGACAGCCCTAAGTGGAACTGGAAAAGGTTTAGAGAAGGGTTTGACCAAATACGCTGCTGTATTCACACCATACACACTATTGTAATAATCTTTGTACAAAGTATACCTTGTAAGGTATTATCTGAAAACCCATAATTTGCTGGTCAGTGTTGTCCTGGTAAAATATGTGTGGTAACATTATATGTGAAGTTATAAGATTCCCCTGTAGCCTGTTATTAACACATGTTCGAAACAATGCATCCTTGCCCAGGCAGGAGCTAGGTCTGTCCTGAACAAAGGAAGGATCGTGTGCTAGCCTTAATTTGCATTTAAGCAGTAAATAGAGTCATCAAACTGGAAGGGGAAACAAAGGAAGTTCGAACAGGTGAAAAAGCACAGGAAACATCCTTCCACACAGACTCTGTCTCCTGGGTCTCAGCTGGAAATGTTTTTCAAGAGGGGGACTGAAATTATAAAAAGGAGGAACAAACACCCTAAGGGACCACTCGCTCTCTCCCTGCCCATCACATTCTCAGCCCTGGACAAGACAAAGGAAGCAGCCTCTCTGAGGAGGGGGTCTTGACCTGAAGAGTTTGATCAGTAACATTGCTGGAAGGATGTGGTGAGAGATTTGGATTGAATCTAATATAGTTTGTTAAGTTAGTCACTAGTAAATGTTTTATATTTATTTTTCTTATAACCATTTCTGACTTTTAAGCCTCATTACTTCTGCTCAATTACAATTGATCTCTTTATAGTTAATAAACTTGTTTTACAGTTTTATCTAATCCAGCGTGATTAGCTTGAAGTGTTTGGATAACTATTTAAGATAATAAGATAGCATATTATTCTCTTAAAGGAATAACAGACTTAATTTTTTTTTTTTTTTTTTTTTTTTTTTTACTGTTCAGGAGAGGGCTGGTCAGTAGAGTACATATATTTCGGGGGGGGGGGTGAAATTTGAGACTCGGGGGAGGGTGTTGGGATCACTCTGCAGAATACCCAAAACTGGTGAGAACCAAGGTGTGTCTGGCTGGCTGCAGCACACACAGTGACTTAAATGCTTGAGGCTGTTTATGAGCAGTCCAGGTTGGAGACTACAGCAGCAAGGTATTGTAAAGGGCACCCCAGGTTACACAGCAGAGGTGACACAGCCACCCACTAGTCTGAATTGTACCCCAGTAGGTCACAAAGGGCAAGAAGGATGATGAAGGGTATGGAACAGCTTCCATACCAGGAGAGACTAAAGATTCGGGTTGTTCATCATAGAAAAGAGAGAATTAAGGGGAAGAGGGATATGATTAAGGTTTCCAGCTAAGAATGAGCAGAGGGCTAGGCACCTTAGGTGCCTGTCTCTGCGAGAAGGGCGGGGTTTGCACACACTTCTCATCAGCATCTCCCATTGGCTAGCTTATGCAGTTCCCTGCCTAGGGTGCTGGCTTTTGTAAGCCCAATTATAAGGTCCCTGTGTCTCCATATATTTTAAATAAGAGTCTAGAAACCTATCTCAGACTTCAGGAATCACAGTGGTTTTCTAGGCACCTCAAAGTTAGGTGCTGTGACACTGAGCCATCCCTAACTCCTTTTGTGCATCCAGGCCCTAGAGAATCTAATGTTCTGAAGCATCATGCCGTGGGCTTCTAATCACAAGATGTGACCAAAAAGGTCTTTATCTCTAATTTTTCTGGTTCATTGATATGCCTGAAGTTCCTAGTTTCAATTTGGCACCTGTTACACATTTCAGAACTGGACTCCTAGATTTTGGGTGTTATCAAGTGCAGTACTTGGTTGCTGATAGTAGCTTATTTTTAATAGTTACTTTCTAAGACTCTTTCCAGTTAATGGTTCTTGATTTTCATCACTGAACCCTGGGGAGAAAAGAAGCCGGAAGTTCTGGCTTAGTGGCTAATGAAATACCCATTTGAATCCCTGTTGTGAGAAGTCTGAAAAACAAAAATATGCACAAGAAAACAGAATCACTAGTAAATGTTATCTCATACTGATAGAGCCAATTTCCGTTTGGTAATGTCGCTGTACCTTAGTTTGACAGCTGCTTTCTCACAGATCCAGAAATGCTTCTCTGTGCAGTGGTCATTATAAATTTTTCCACTATATAGGCAGCCACAATTATAGGATGAATACAAGTCAATCCTAGAAAATAAAGCATCATTTTATTATGTTTTGACATTGGCACTCTGTGCATGTATTCAGGGCACTCTGTATTTGCCAGTTTCCTTGGAGTAAGTAATGTGCATGGGCCCTACAACTGATTCAGATTACTTTCCTGTACATGAGAGCTCATCTCTGCCAGCCAGTGCGTTGTGAGGTCAGTGTCAACGCTCCACTGCTCTGTGCCCACTCCCTCCTCACCCACACAGGACAGGGATTAGCAGCCCTACAGAAGCTGCTATTGCCCCTGTGCTTCTAGTCACAACGCAGACGGACAGCGCAGGAAAGTAAGTGGGCACCATCCGTCTCCTCTGTACAAGCACCCAGGACAGGCCGCAATTTGGTGCTAAATATTTATAACTTACCAATCTTCTTTCTGTGTCAAAAGAGCGGAGCCATCTGTCCAATACCAGCTGTTCTCTCCAGATTTGTGTAAACCAATCCAATAATATTGGGAATTCTCTCTTGGAGGTACATGGTTCTGTGAAGAAATCACCACATTATTTCCCTAAAGAAGCCAAGTTCTTATGTGTATAATTGTATAGGTTAAAAAATAACAAATGTGAGTCAGCAACAGAAGAAATTCTGGACAGTGGCATAGCATCCACCCTTCCTGATTTGTATTACAGGACTGTTCAAGTGTCTCAGACTATTGAAATGTTGCAGGGAGGATTTAAGAGTCACCTCTCTAGCACCAGCGGCCAGATTTTTAAAGGTATTTAGGTGCCTAAAGATGCAGATAGGCACCTAGTGGGATTTTAAAAGTGCCTAGCTTCCACTAAAATCAATGGCAGTTAAGTGCCTAGGCACTTTTAAAATCCCTCTAGATGTCTCTCTGTACCTTCAGGCACCTAACTAAGTGAAAGCAGATAGGCAGAGCTCTTTGAATGCAGAGCTTTACTACCCATTAGTCTTTACTCTGATTTCAAAATCAACAAGGAGTCTGGTGGCACCTTAAAGACTAACAGATTTATTTGGGCATAAGCTTTTGTGGGTAAAAACCTCACTTCTTCAGATGCAGATGTGAGGTTTTTACCCACGAAAGCTTATGCCCAAATAAATCTGTTAGTCTTTAAGGTGCCACCAGACTCCTTGTCGTTTTTGTAGATACAGACTAACACGGCTACCCCCTGATATGTGATTTCAAAATATGTTTTGACTGGATCACAGGATGAGATGTAACCAGACACATTAACTATCTCTATGATGGTGTCATGAGCAATTCCTGAGATGTGCCCCAAATGTTCCTGCTATTTCCTTTCCTCATATGCAATTTCCATCCCAGCCTTATTCTCTGTTCTTCCTTCTGTCTCCAAAGAGCCTGACTTAGCTAGCCAGGACAGCACATTGTTGTAACCGATCTGGCAAGCTGTAAATAATATGGGAGTAACAGGATTCCATGGGAATTTTGCTCCCTAAAAAAAAAATTAAAAAAAAAAAAATGACAATCAGGATAACCCAGTCAGATGTTTTCCTGGGTCAGGGAATTGCAGCTGAGGTCCAGGAGTGTCTAGCTGTGTCATGGGCCATACTGGTGCCAGTGGTCTTCCAATACCTGACCAGTGAGGCAGAGACAGAAGCTCTCTCTTCTCTTTCCCCCTTTGTATGTGTTTGTCATATTTTCTTTTAAGCAAATACAGGATTGGAAATTAATGACAGAACTGAAGATCTGAGAGCTCCCGCTTAAAAAAGACTTTGCCACCCCTTCACCTCCTCCACACACACATTCTGTGGATGTTTTTTGAGAGACTTTTAAGGAAGGGAATAAGACAAAGGGAATAAGAGACGTTTTGTAGAATGAAGAAGTGCTTGGTGGTTGTGTTTGCAATTAATAGATGATGAAAAGGAATTTCTTGTGTAATGCTGTACAAAGAAAGTTAGATCCTGACAACAAATTACAGTTAATATGGAGTCAGAAGAAAGTAACAAAATGGATAACTTTTTAACATCCTAAACCTAATCCAGTCCTCACAACATATGCCTAGCAATAGGAGATACGGGGTCTGGTTCCTTATTGTCCTGCACATTGTGTTGTTATTTACACCAGGATAAAATGGGTATAATACCTACCAGATCAGAGTGCTGGCATTTGATGACCACTTTATTCCAGTGTAAATGAAGACACAAATTTCAGGACTATGGTGAATCCAACTCTGTGGAAGTGTGGAAATTCTTCCCTTGAATCCCTCAAGGAACCCAGAAGAGCAGGAAAAATGTTATCCACAAAGCACTGATCCAGCCTCCTCCTGAAAGCAGCCAGAAGGGAGTACTAGGGAGTACTCCCTGTGGAAAACCCACTGTTCGTAACCACAGCAGGATCTGAGAGACTTGTGTCTATTCTACTAATACCCCCTGGCAGTAAGTTCCAAATGTGACTGACAGATTTACTGTCCTCTGCACTGTTCCACACTTTGGGGATACTGAGAGCTGTAGTAACCAAAATGCAATTTATCTTGGAGGGACTTCTGAGAAATTAATTAAAGTTAAAATAAAACAGGCTGGGAGAGGGACCCTACCAGCTTATGCCTGTGTTTTAGCATGAGAAAGGTGGAATTCTGTAAGGAACAGAACCTCTGGCTCTCTTCCCATGACCTCTTCTGCGTTGATATGTAGAAACAGGTGTCACCTCCCATCCATTGCCAGTTTGCAGGGCAGAGCGTACAACTGGATCCTACAAAAGAGAGAAATTGTCTTTATTTCTCATCCTAAGCAGTTCAGTGGAGAATACAGGAGCTGAAGTCATGGGTTTGAGTGGGTATAGAAGTTGTAGAGTTGTAATGGATGTGACACTAATCCTTCGTGGGCCAAACTGGAGAATCTCATTAGCCTGTGTGAAATGAGTTGCTGAGTCTCAGTTCTGTTACAGTATGACATGATCTCCATTGAGAAGTGGTGGATTTTTCATTGCTGAGAAATTTAAACCGCAGGAGTAGAGAACGTTGTTATCAGGAGTCATCAAGTCATGCTGCTACACGTAGTCTTACAAGTTCTGTTCCTCATCATATGAGCAGTGTGTAGTCTTTGAAGAAATACTATGTTGTTAATTTTGTGAGTGAGGTTCTTTTTGATTCCCTTGTGTACTGCTGGCATGAAAGCTGATGTCCCTTCACCATGTCAGGCCAATGAGCCTTTGGCTTCCCATGTCTTAGACAACCAACCTCCATTGGGCAATAGAGCCAGTATCTGAAGTTCATAAATAAGTCATTTCCCCCACTTCTCCAGGGTTTTAGGCACCACAATCAAACACCCTGATGATCTTTTCACCCCTGCTTATTTTTTTACTGGTTTGAAATCCAACTCCCCAATTCCATCCTGGAGGTTCCATAGCGAATTCACTATAGGAGCCATCAATATTGCTCCTTAATTGACTAAAAAGGGCACCACTGCATAGAGCTAAGTAAATAATTGAGGAGGGGAGGGGGGGTTGCTCAGCATCTGAAGCAAAAAAAAAAAACTAAAAAAAGAAGTTCAGTATGTTTCAAATCAGTACAGAACTCTTTCTCGCTGAAACAAATTCACGCGGGTCAAATGAAACCAAATTTCAAAATGAAAGGTTATTTAGAAATGAAATGTTGAAATGGTTCATTTCAAAAATGTCAAAATGAACCATTTTGACTTAGTTGAATTTTTTCCTTATTTTTTATTTAGTGGAATTCTATCCAGCGTCACAAATAATTTTGCTCTCCACTTTGGACATTTACTATTCTCTAAAAACATTGCCTAGCTTGATGCTGAGTCACACGAAGTACTCTTGCTTCCCCACTGACTGAACATGCTGCTTCTTTTGCAATTCATTATCTTGTCCCAATCCCAGAAGGAGTGAATGAAAATTGAACCTTAATTCTCCACACTGTTCTGCAGACCACTAAGCAACATCTTGAGTGAACAGTTACCATCTGATGCTGTTCTATGGCCCATGTGAAATCAGTTGGTTAGCAAAAATCCAGTTACTAGGAGGTAGCCGGTGTCAACATCACAAAAGCACCACAATAACTAGCATTAATTGTCTGCTTTCTTAGCAATTTCATCACAGAAGAAAAGGATTGAATGAATCATGAAGAAGGAATTCCCTTGTATCTCACCTCTCCACTAATTGCATACACTTAGTTGTGTCCCTTTCAATGCAAGGGCAGAGTTAATGAATAGGGATGTTATGAGAAGCGGATGGGGGAATTGTACAACCCTTGCCCAACCTTATCTATTCTGGAATAAAGGACAGGAGTTCATTTGCATAACAATCCTATTTACCATTATTCTCATTATTTTCCTCTCCTTTAAGACACAAATGATCTTTCATGTCTTGCAGCCTTTTTGAAAAATTTGTTTGCAGAGTTTCCTGGTTCCTCATGAGGTTCCCAAATTGTTTCTGGAAGTCATTGGAAACCTGAAAAACTGAAATTCACAAAAGCATTTTCCATTCTCATAATTTACAAATCAAAATTATTCCTGTCTCTGTCCTCTTAATTTTAGTGATTCCATTCATCTGGTTTAAATGTTGTGTCTTATTTAATGTAGGAAAGATTAGAAGTGACATCACAGATTCAGTGTAATTTTTTTTCTATTAAAAACAATATAAAATGAGCTGGCTTGTTAATGGGGTACAGAGCCTTTCACCTTTTTGTCACCAATGTGTATCCAATGCAGGTCAGTATTAACCAAAAGACATCCCTCCTGAGGAGTGTGCAGTGTGAAATGAGTTAGTGGATGTCACCCCAGTTCCTAATGGGACAGGTTTCCACATCACAAAAACCACCACCATAAATGGCACAAGAAGGCTTCTCTTTGGCAATTTAAGCAGAGGCCAAGGAGTGAATGGGCTACAGAGATTGTCACTTGTAGCATTAATACTACTCTGGAGCAGAGCCAAGGTAAAAGTATATTAATTCGTGAGAATGTGTCTGGGAAACTTGCATTATCACTGCCCATGCTGTATCTTTGCAACAGTTAAATCATGAACTTCAGACTAGAAAGGATGGATGTCAATCTGGCATCTTTTACAAGCACCAAATTAATTAATAAATAAAATAGTGATACTTACACACAATGCCCAGGGCTAACATCCCTAGCAGCAATGCCAAGCACAGTATGAGGAAAGTCAAGGCAGCCAGACGCCATGTGGAGGATGAAGAGTGGAGCGCTGGAGGAACAGCAGAATAAAGTCCAGACCAGTAATATATATATATATATATATATATACACACACACACACACACACACACTTAGTGCTTTAACAGGGCCAGTTTCACAAAGCTGAAAACAATTATGAGCCAAATCAGGTGGGAAGAAGAATGTAATCTGAAAAAATGTGAATTGGGAATCTTTTAACACTTAACTAGATGCCCAAAAAGTCACAATCCCACAAAAAAGGCTGTGCTGGTTAAAAAGCCAATCTGGGTTATAAGACAATTGAAGGCAGCTGTAAAAATATATTACACACACACACACACACACACACACACACACACACATTCACAAAATGGAATAAAGGGGAAGTTGATAGTAATGAATATAAATCATTATGAAATAGTGTATCCCTGTGTTCACACCCTACACATTATTGTAATAAGATTTATACAAAATATGCCTTGTGAGACTGTGACGGGTTGGACCCCCCGCTTCCAGGATGCCACCTGATGTGTTGGGGTTCCACTGAGCCCACCCGTTCTACCAGTCTGGGCTGCCTCACCATGTCCTGTTGCACACACACAGGTAGGGACACACCCAGGTGTAGAATTACACAGAGTCTGCAATCAGCTCTGTGTGGGAAGCCTCAGCTCAGGGAATTTACCAGCACTCTGGTTCACACACCCTCTGGAATTTAAACCCAAAATTATATTGTCTTGCTCTGTATAAAGATCTATATAGCGTAAGCTCATTAAATTCTCCCCCTCCCTTAATGTAGAAATGAAATTCACCTCCCCCCATTATGAATTGCATAAACTGGGTTTTAGAATAAACACAAACAAGTTTATTAACTACAAAAGGTAAATTTTAGTGATTATAAGAGATAGCAAACAGAACAAAGTAGATTACTTAGCAAATAAAACAAAACATGCAAACTAGGCTTAATACATTAAAGAAATTGGCTATAAATAGTAATTTCTCACCCTAAATGTTGTTTTATGCACGTTGCAGAGTTTCTTGAAGGTAAACTGCACTGCTTGCAGCTTAACTCTCCAGGTATACCCTCCACAGGCTGACCTTTCTCGCATGGGCTCAGCCCCTACCTCCCCCAGCTTAGCTCCTTTGTTTCTTCAGGTGTTTTCAGCATTCTTCCTTCTTGGGCAGTGGAGAAGAGCCTAGATTAACTCACTCCCCAGCCTTAAATAGGATTTGCATATGGCAGGAATCCTTTGTTTCCCAGGTTGACCCTCACCCCCTTCCCATGGAAAAGTCCCAGCATTTCAAGATGGAATCCTGTAGCAGGTGACATGATCACATGACCCTGCAGTGTCAAAGCATCATCCCAGGAGACTTCTCAGGAAGGAGGGAGATTAGTATTTTCAAAGTCCTATTGTCCTTCCTAATGGCCCATCCAGGCTGTTTGCATACTGTCTGGTGGGCGTTCCCCCAGTTGAAAACACAGTTATAATCATTACATAGTCAATATTTCTAACTTCAGTTACAGAAATGATACATGCATACAAATTGGGTAATCATGTTGAGTAAATAATAACCTCTCCAATGATACCTCACATGACCCATCTTGCATAAAAATATCTTAGCTATGACATATTCATATCATAACAATATTTGTATGAAGAATATTGGGGTGTAATGTCCCAGATAAATTATTAAAAAACTCATAATTTGCTGATCAATAATATCAATGCAAAGTGAAGTTATAAACATAAGATGAGATCATGACTAAAATTATGTTTTCCAGGGAAGTCTGAGGAGTGGGCAAACCAGTTCCTTAGAGACAAAGGACAAGCTGACCCCTCAGCCAGATGTAAACAAGGCTAATGGACCATTGCCTACTAAGTGGCCATTCTTTGCTGGGAAAGGGGGCAGGGACAAATAATCTACATCTAAGTAAATAAATAGCATGGAGTTTCCTTCCACACAGACTGCCTGTTGCCTTGCTCCCAGCTGGAAATTCTTCTCAAAGAGGGGACAGGATTATAAAATGAAGGGGCAGACACCCCAAGGCACCCATTCTCCTTCCTCTCTTTCTATCAATTCACTGAACAAGAAGGAACAATGGAAGCAGCCATTACATAGAAGAAAGGGTTCTGACCTAAGAAGTTTGTCCAGTAAGACTTTTGGGAGCAAATGGGGACAGAAACTTTGCTTTGAATTTAACATAGTTTGTTAAGTTAGGCACTAGTGTTTTATCTTTATTTTTCTTGTAATTGTTTCTGACTTTTATGCTTCATTACATATATTCACTTAAAATCTCTCTCTTTGTAGTTAATAAACTTGTTTTATTGTTTTATCTAACCCAGTGTGTTTAAATCAATATGTCTGGGAAACTCCATTTGGGATAACAAAATTTGTGCATATAATTTATCTTAATAAAATGATGGACTTTATATTCATAGATTCATAGATTCTAGGACTGGAAGGGACCTCAAGAGGTCATCGAGTCCAGTCCCCTGCCCGCATGGCAGGACCAAATACTGTCTAGACCATCCCTGATAGACATTTATCTAACCTACTCTTAAATATCTCCAGAGATGGAGATTCCACAACCTCCCTAGGCAATCTATTCCAGTGTTTAACCACCCTGACAGTTAGGAACTTTTTCCTAATGTCCAACCTAGACCTCCCTTGCTGCAGTTTAAACCCATTGCTTCTTGTTCTATCCTTAGAGGCTAAGGTGAACAAGTTTTCTCCCTCCTCCTTATGACACCCTTTTAAATACCTGAAAACTGCTATCATGTCCCCTCTCAGTCTTCTCTGTTCCAAACTAAACAAATCCAATTCTTTCAGCCTTCCTTCATAGGTCATGTTCTCAAGACCTTTAATCATTCTTGTTGCTCTTCTCTGGACCCTTTCCAATTTCTCCACATCTTTCTTGAAATGCGGTGCCCAGAACTGGACACAATACTCCAGCTGAGGCCTAACCAGAGCAGAGTAGAGCGGAAGAATGACTTCTCGTGTCTTGCTCACAACACACCTGTTAATACATCCCAGAATCATGTTTGCTTTTTTTGCAACAGCATCACACTGTTGACTCATATTTAGCTTGTGGTCCACTATAACCCCTAGATCCCTTTTTGCCGTACTCCTTCCTAGACAGTCTCTTCCCATTCTGTATGTGTGAAACTGATTTTTTCTTCCTAAGTGGAGCACTTTGCATTTGTCTTTGTTAAACTTCATCCTGTTTAACTCAGACCATTTCTCCAATTTGTCCTGATCATTTTGAATTATGACCCTGTCCTCCAAAGCAGTTGCCATCCCTCCCAGTTTGGTATCATCCGCAAACTTAATAAGCATACTTTCTATGCCAATATCTAAGTCGTTGATGAAGATATTGAACAGAGCCGATCCCAAAACAGACCCCTGTGGTACCCCACTCATTATGCCTTTCCAGCAGGATTGGGAACCATTAATAACAACTCTCTGAGTACGGTTATCCAGCCAGTTATGCACCCACCTTATAGTAGCCCCATCTAAATTGTATTTGCCTAGTTTATCGATAAGAATATCATGCAAGACCGTATCAAATGCCTTACTAAAGTCTAGGTATACCACATCCACAGCTTCACCCTTATCCACAAGACTCGTTATCCTATCAAAGAAAGCTATCAGATTGGTTTGACATGATTTGTTCTTTACAAATCCATGCTGGCTGTTCCCTATCACCTTACCACCTTCCAAGTGTTTGCAGATGATTTCCTTAATTACTTGCTCCATTATCTTCCCTGGCACAGAAGTTAAACTAACTGGTCTGTAGTTTCCTGGGTTGCTTTTATTTCTATTTTTTATTTCCATTGTTTAGGACAGGGCTGGGCAGTACAGAACATATATTTCTGGGGGGAAATCTAGGCTTGGGGGTGTGCTGGGGTCACCCTGCAATATAATCAAGATGTGACTAGCTGGCTGAAACACACCCATAGACATAGCTGTGAGTGATTGAATGCTGGAGTCTGTTTGTGAGCAGTCCTGACCGGAGGCTACGGTAGCAAATTGTAAAGGGAAGCCCAGGTTAGAGGCCAGGAGTGACACAGCTACTCATTACTCTGGATTCTACACTGGGTATGTCACAATCAGAAGTTAGGAATTCCAGGAAATTGATAATGGATTATAAGGTGGATAGAAAGCTGGCTAGATCATCGGGCTCAACGGGTAGTGATCAATGGCTCCATGTCTAGTTGGCAACCGATATCAAGTGGAATGCCCCAGGGGTCAGTCCTGAGGCTGATTTTGTTCAACATCTTCATTAATGATCTGGATGATGGGATGGATTGCACCCTCAGCAAGTTCGCGGATGACACTAAGCTGGGGGGAGAAGTAGACACACTGGAAGGTAAGGATAGGGTCCAGAGTGACCTAGAAAAATTGGAGGATTGGGCCAAAAGAAAACTGATGCAGTTCAACAAGGACAAGTGCAGAGTCCTGCACTTAGGACGGAAGAATCCCATGCACTGCTACAGGCTGGGGACTGACTGGCTAAGCTGCAGTTCTGGAGAAAAGGACCTGGCAATTACAGTAGATGAGAAGCTGGATATGAGTCAGCAGTGTGCCCTTGTTGCCAAGAAGGCTAATGGCATATTGGGCTGCATTAATAGGAACATTTCCAGCAGATCGAGGAAAGTGATTATTCCCCTCAATTTGGCACTGGTGAGGCCACATCTGGAGTATTACATCTGGTTTTGGGCCCCCACCAAAGAAAGATGTGGACAAATTGGAGAGAGTCCAGCAGAGGGCAACAAAAATGATTAGGGGGTTCGGGCACATGACCTACAGGGAGAGGCTGATGGAACTGGGGTTATTTAGTCTGCAGAAGAGAAGAGTGAAGAGGGATTTGATAGCATCCTTCACCAACCTAAAGGGGGGTTCCAAAGAGGATGGAGTTAGGCTGTTCTCAGTGGTGGCAGATGACAGAACAAGGAGCAATGGTCTCAAGTAGCAGTGGGGGAAGTGTAGGTTGGATATTAGGAAAAACGATTTCATTAGGAGAGTGATGAA